TGAGGCCCTGTTCGATCCCCGGTAAAAAAAAAAAAAAAAAAAAATTCCTTAAATCACCTCTAGTTTCCACATGACATCTAATGCAGTGTAAATCTATCTAAGCAGTTGATGGACCATTGCTTACAGAACAATACTGAGGGGGAAAGCCTGTGCATGTTCAGAACGGATGCAACTTCTTCTGAATATTTTCAACACCCAGTGAATGGAATCCACAGATGGAAAACCTGTGGGTGTGGAAGACCTACTGCCACCTCCACTAATGTAGGATATTTTGAGTGAATTATCCTCCATGATACACATCGCCCCCAGGGAATCTACAAAAGCTGCACTTTTTGGTTATTTCCATATCCCTGGAGTATTCAAGGCCGGGCCCTTAGTAGCTGCTCAGATATATTTCGAACATATATTTGTAATCCTGAAATAAGTTGACAATTCACTGTTAAAGGAAAAGTACTTTGAGCAACAAAATGTAAAGTACAGTTCCACTTGCCACACACACACACGTGCACGTGGATGTTTCTGAGGGGTACTGGTAAAACTGCAGTGTACAGTTGGCACAACATTCATATTTTACTTTATATTCCCTTATGAACTTTTCCCCAAGTATATTATTTATTATCTGTGTGATTAAAACTTATTTTTGAAACATATAATACAAAATTCTGTGCCATCTTGGTTTAAAATACTTAGGACACTCCAATTAGGCTTCATGGAGGACCTGCTCCTCCCCAGCCCACTCCCCTCCGTTCCCATAGAGCAGAAGGGATTTTTGTCTCTAGAAAGGGAGCTGCAGGGGAACCTGAGGCTGTGCTTCTTCCTTTGCCTCCTCCCAGGAGAGCTGACTTATCGGACTGGGAACAGATGGTGGAGACTGAACCCCTGGCCACAGCACTTTCTCTGCCGTCTCCCCAACCCACCTTGACTTAAGGAGGGTGCAGTCTCTATTTCTCCCAGCAGGAAGCTGAGGCAGGCCTTCAGCTAGGGTGAGTTCAGATCAGGAAGGCTTTTGTGAAGCTGATTACAGCCACTGATCAAGTGTGTTTGCCCCTACAGTCTTCTGTACTATAAAGCTGATGTTTTACCTTCTGTCTTTCAACACCTTGTTCTATTTCACCATTACATATGAACGCGAGAGGCAAAGAAGGTTATTTATTAGCACCCAGATCCCAAAGGATGGCCACAGAACATTTTAAGTGTTCTTGTTTAGAAAGCCAAATTGCCTTTCAGTGTATCTCTTCCATACCAGAGAGTATGTATAAGTTCTCTTTTTAGAGACTTCCAATATTGGGCAGAAAAACTTAGGAAATCTTTTTGGGCTATTTTACATAAATCTTGCTATTATTTTAATAAGCACTTCTTTGAAGACTTTTGAAGTAAACATATTATATGTTTGATTTATTTGGGGATTACCTGACATAATCAACGTTACAGCACTAATTTTAAATTTTGTTTATGTTGGGATTTTTACATCTAGGATTTAAAATTTGTATGTAGTCAAATCTTAATCTTGTCATTAGAGGTTTTGCAATTGTTTTTAATCTTAAAGAGCTTTTCCAAAAGCAAAATCAAGTAGTTGTTTGAATTTTCTTCTAGTTATTCTATTGTTTTATTTCTCATATTTAATTCTCTCTTTATTTTCAAATACTGAATTGGTTAATTAGCTGTGTTAGGATATAAGCCAAGCTTTTGTATACCCTCCTTACACACATGACAGACCAGGACTGGATGGAAGGTCTGCCCTGTTCTCAAATAGGCGTTCTCATTCTGCGTCTGAGGTATTTACGTTCTGCCCCCGTTTCCCCTCAGTGGGAAGGGGTCGAGAGAGACAGAGAGGAAAAAAGCCATAACATTTTCAGATGTAGAAATTAGACTCTCACTTCGGTTCCATGATGAAAACACAGTCCCAGGACCCCGTCTTGCTGGACTGGCTGGGGAAAGAAGTGTGGACAGGCCTATAACCAGCGAGAGCCCACGGGGGAGGGTGGACCCGGGCAGCCCAGTGCTTCTCATGCCAGAGAAAAGAAAGAAGGAAAAGTAGATGAAAACAACTTCTCTGCTTTATTATTTTGATGTTTATAAGTTTTCAATAATGATTTGATTATATGTGTCCATACCTTATTTCAATTACAGTAGACCCGGATACTGGTGAGCCCTGTATCGACTTTTAACAACCCTGATAAATGTAATCCAAGGTACACATTGATCCGCATCTTACTCACCCTGCCGGTAGGAGCCGATGTACTGTGCACTTTAACACTTTCGGTTGTCCCAGCTGTTTCAGTCACAAAGGTTAGAATGTGCAGTGCATATTTAAATGTTTTAAGGACTTGATCAAGCTGCTGTCAATCAGCATTTCTCTATCAAAACCACAAATAAGAACTCAAATTATTAAGACCATGGCTCCCGATTGAAATCGATACTTCGGGCCCCTTCACAGCCAAAGAGTATGTGCACTGTATGAAAGAAGAAAATAGTTCCTGGGGTGGTTTCTTTGTAGCAATGCAGTTCCAGTTTCTCTGCTCCTAACCACGCCCTCGTGCCCCACAGGCCTTTCACATCTGTCTCCAATCACGGCCCTGCTCTGCCTCTGAGAGGTGAACCAGCAGCCACCTCTCCGCGAGTCAAGCTTTACCCTGGCTTCCTCTTGGTGCTCCTTACTCCAGTTGTCTTTGCTTGGTTTTGGTTTTGGTTTGGGCTGTATTTTTAAAGACAGTGTCTCATTGTGCAGTCCAGGCTGGCCTTGAACTCACTGTGTAGCTCGGGCTGGCTGTGACCTGGTGGTGATCCTCCTGCCTCAGCCTCCTGAGGGCTGGGATTACAGGTGTGTGCCAGCATGCCCAACTGCTACTACACTTATAAGTGTTCCGTCAATACAGTGTCATATCGACCGGGGCTCATCTCCTCCCCTGGAGGGGTGCCTGTTTCTCGATACCACATTTGCAATGCCCAGGGCCCACAGAAGCGCCCCTCTGTCTTGTGTATTCCCAGTTCTTTAAAAGCCCACCTTTCTAATCAGAGGGGAAACTTAATTGTTCAGTGGCATTTGCTTGGCTACTTAGGTCAGGCCTACTTATAGTCTCTCCGGGGGCCTACTTACTCTTCATGATGTCTGGAGATAAACTATTAAATTTTGATTATCTTGAATACTAACAGAATAAAATACTTAACTGAATTTTTGCAGCTTAGAGTTACAGTACAAATTCTACTTTTCCTATTTCTTATTTTTTTAAATAAGTGAAATAATAGTTGATTTTCTGGCCTGTCTTCTTAGTATACATGGAATCTTAGTATAAAACGGAATCTTTATAATAGGTTCAGTGTCCATTTCGCCTTTCATTCACTCTTTCTACAAATATGTGTTGAGCAGCCATCTATATCTAGGAGAGGCATCTGAGCAAAAACCCTAAGGAAGTGAGTATGATATGTGGGTGTCTGGGGAGATCTTTTGCATTCTTTCAAGCTGAGAAATACCTCTTCTCTGTTCCACCTGAACTGGCATCTGCCCTAGATACTGGAATGGAATGTTCTGTTCCACAAATGGAATAGGGTGCAGTCGAGCAGAATGAGCTGGTGAATAATTTAACAAAAGGAAAACTCAGGGGCTCTGAGAGTAGATTGTTTGACTTCTTTCGGGGGGCGGGGTACAAGGGATCAAACTTGGGTCCTTGCGCTTGTGAGGCTGGCAGCAGAACCACTGAGTTACATCCCTGGCCCTTGACTTCTTATCCTATTTCTCCCACTTGATTTCTTTGTACCACTGGACATATTTCTTCCTTTCTCAGTACCTCGCTTCTTTGGCGTTAAGGGGGGAGCTGTCAGTAATGGTCGTCCCATGTGACAAGGGGAGGATGACATTAGTTAGGGCACGCAGAGCTCTTAGATGTGGGCCTGCTGCAAGCAAAGAACTCAACAGTTCTAACCGGTCACGGTTGTTTTTACTATTAACACTGTTACAACACAAAATGTTGCCAAGCATGTCTTGGAAAGCCAGGAGGTGATGCACACAGTTTGTATTTTTCCTGTGTATTTCAAATTGTGAATGAGACAAATGTGTGCAACTGACAGATGAATGTTGCAAAATGTAAAAGAAAATCACTGACAACCCTTGAAGAAAGCCCTAACCCTGCTGTGATTAGTATTTCCCTGTGACCTCTTCTCCTGCATGTCTTTAAATCCTACATTGGTCCCCTCCCTGGATGCAAGATCAAGTCCAAGTCCTTGCATGCCCGTGACCAACGTTTCGTGCCTGGCCTCTCATGCCTTGCAATCCTGCTTCTCTTACATCTCGGTGCCTTGCTTGCTTTAATTCAGCTCAAACTCCAGTGCACCTCTCCATTCCCTTGTCTACCCTCTTCTGCCGGACTACCAGGTCCTGAGGTCAGAAAACAGCTCTAATTAATCTTTGCATCCCCAGCACCTACCCGTGACAATGCGACATTTAGTAGGTACTAAAAAAAGGAAATGAATGAATGAACCTGAATTTTTACTTTGTTGCAATTTTAATGCATCTGTCTATCTGTACAAACTGCAGGAGATAGGGGCTGTCTGATGGAGAACTGGACTGGGCGTTATTTAACTTCGGAGTCTCGCCTGGGTTTGGGTCTGTAGCTCCAGTGGAGATATGTGTGTGTACACATTCCTCTTCACACTTATCTAGTAATTTCCACGTGGCTACAGTCAGCATCTCAGTGATAGTAGTTGCTTGGCGGTCCCTGCTGCCCAGTAGGATGTTCTGCCCTGGAGGAAAGGTCCACTGTCACGCTGTCCAGGGTAGTAGCCACTGGTCGGTCACATGTGGCCACTGAAGCCCGGAAATGTGCTGGGATTCCTGAGGAACTGAGTTGTCCACTGTGTTTGAACAAGTGACATCACCACCTTGGCCAGTGCCAGTGGGATGGACGACAGGTACGGGGTGTGATTCCTCACTGCTTCCTTCTCAGCCGTCAGTGAGACACATTTCTGGTCATCACACTGTTTCTCGAGGTGAAGTTACTTGAAAAGTTGTTTAAAATATTTTCATCATCTCTACCAAACTGTTTTAATAATTTCTTCGAAAGCCTGTTATTTCACCTAAAATACAAATGTGCATATGAACACAAATCCACGGATGAAATCCCAACCTATGGGCTATAATCAATTAGATATTATAGAATATATCTACCAGTGTGGCTCTTCATGAAAAGACAGCTAGGTGACACTTACTGGGTGTGCGCCTCTAGCAGGTCCAGCCAAATAACAAATGCTCACTCTTAAAGATAAGTTTCATAGCAACCTGCACGGAACCTCAATTTCAGCAATTATAATGTTCTTGGAAATACACTCTAAATGTGTCTTCCAAGCAGGAGAACTTAAGTAACAGCAGAAAATCCTAGCTGCTTTTGAGATACCAGATATCCGACGATTGCTTTCACTAGTGACATAGTTTCCATAACCTTTGCCACAGTTTTCCACTTTACCCAAATCTACATTTGGGTATCACAGTAGTAGTTTTAATGAAGTTACATAATTTTCCTGTTATAACTGTGATGTTCAAAATACTGGATTATTGCATAAATATTTGCATTTTGGGGGTGCCAGACACAATAATACAAATGGTTCACAAACGATTCACAAAAGGTTTGAAGGCAGCAGCATCTGGCAGAATTCTTCTTCTGTTCATAAACTCAACACTGGGTGACAAACACAACCACAGCCATCTGCCCCAGGATCCGCCCCCCATGTGTGAGAGAATACGCTTGTGTTGATTAAGCTGCCGCGTGCATGGTGACCAGTTACTGTAGCAATGGAAAAACCCTACAGACATTCACCATCCAGGGCCCTCCATGTGTCTCTGTTTCTTGGTGCTCTGATGTGCGGTTGAGTAAAACTGCTTTATTTTTTAACCTATATAGTGGAACCTGTCGTTATTCCCTAACATCTAGCTCTTTTTTGTATGTAACCCAGGTTAAATTGATATGATAGTTAGGATCAATACAGGAAAAAACTTTTAACTTGTTTTGAGCCGGGTGTTGGGCATGAATATACAGTATAAAATCCAGACGGATAAAGAGTGGGAGTAGAGATTGCCTCTCATCTTTATCTTTCTCTCTCTCTCTCTCTCTCTCTCTCTCTCTCTCTCTCTCTGGGTCTATACACTGTAGACACTTAATAAAGGTGCATCGAGAGGTGTGCAGCTTGCTTGTCTTTTTACTACAAGAAAATGATTACTTCAAGCACTTGGGTCTACTGTCAATGTTTTCTTGTAGGTTATGCTTTCTAACCCAGTGACCAAAAATCCTGTGAATTTGGAAGCGGCCCAGATGCTGACCGAAGATCTGTCCATGTACCGGAGAGTACTTCAGAGACTTTTCCAGGGACCATTACAATGTAAGAAGGGCCTGCTTGTTATTTGGGGGTCATCACATATGCATTAAACATGTATATTAATAAATGTTCTATAAGGGAATATCTGGATACTTCCTGTATCTGTTGTCAGTGATGCAGTGGTTCTAAGATCTCCCAACTGGAAGTTTGTGTCAACCAATCAGTGCAGTCCCTTTTTAAAGCCCATCAAAGATCTCAGGCTCGTTACCTTATATGGCTTGGCCTGTGGAAGGACGAGGGGACTCATCTACCCATCTCAGCGTGACCTGTGCCTCACATCGGCCACGGTTATTTCCCAGACTCCTCTGTGGTACCCTCACTATTATTAATATGGCCTACTATCCTTTTGAATAACAAGGTATTCAGTGTTCCCTTCTGGAACATTCTTCCCCCGCGTATTCCTTCTAATGGTCCTCATGGAGACGGCGTGCGAAGCTCTCCAGTCTCTCTGCTTCACTGTCCAGTGGTTTTCTGATACTCGGCATCTCACCGCGCCTGTTGGTGATGGAACTCTGTTGTCCCGTTTCTCCTGTGTTCTCCACTAGCAGAGCCCGAGGGCCTTCCCACAGCTGATGGAGGGACATAGTTCTTCCTGTCCATCCTGCTGTCCCCTGGGGCACATGGCAGCCTTGCTCTCAGCTGGGGTCGTGCCTCCCTGAGCAGCAGGCCTTGTCCCTTCCGACGCCTCTCTTATGTTTGTCTCTTCTCCCAGTCTCCTTGTGGGACAGCCTCAGTCTGTGGCTGGGTCTGCGCAGCTGTGTGTCCATTGTTCCTCCTCAGAGATTCTGGGCCTGATGCAAACCAAGCAGCATTGATCAGGCGTCTGTGCAAGTGTCTCTGAACCCACCTCAGTTTCCTTGGGCCCTGGAACATTCCCTGGCACGCCTGAGGCCGGTTCCTTCACGGAAGGGCAGTGCCACTCCACTGGCGCAGCACAGGGGCTGCCAGCTCGGGTGGCACCCACTGCTGCAGCCTCGGCGAGTGGTCCCGCTCTGCGTCTGTACCTCTGGGGTGGATCAGGAACCATGTCTGTCACTGGACCTGTCAGAGAGCCCTCCCTGCAGGACCCACATTACAAAGAATCCTGTAAGACAAAGTCACGCTCACATTCCGGGGAATGGCAATTTTTTAAACTGGTTTCATAGAAGTGTCAGATAAAGGATTTGGGGCAGCAGCTTTTCCCTGCAGAAGGGCGGAGGTAACCTGGGGTAAGGCGGATCCATCCTTTGGTCCACCACAAGGACACACAAGCCTGCTCCTGTCCGCTCTCCGACTCCCAGGCTGCCTTCCAGAAACGCCGGCCCAGTCCCTGCTCCAGGCCCACCACACCAGCGGTGAGCATGCGGATGACCAGGCCTGAGGACACGCGTCCCCCTGCTTGCCATCCACACTGGAAGGGAGAGGTGGCTTCGGGTACCTTGAGGGAGTGGTTTCCACAGCCCTGACAGAGCAAGACAGCTGCTGGTTCAGGAATGAGGTGGGCACAGCTGTGCTCTCCATGTTGGGTGCTGGCGCCATGGTGTGGATGTGTGGAAGGCAGAACCCCGCCAAGAACCCATTATTTATAAACACTCGGCATGGATCTGAGAGAATACAACGATATATACCTAAACCGTCAACAGAGAGTGTTGGAAGAATTATCATCACACTTTTAGATTACACATGACAGGAATGGGTTGTGAATTGTGTAAGAGGAACTCAGCAGCCAATGGGATCCTCGGTGACTCTGACTATAGACAGGCAAGACCCACGTTCACGTGCCCAGTCTGATAAGATGCATTGGATAAAAGGACGTAGAATGAGTGAGGAAAACCCTTCGATCTGGATTTGACCGCCTAGTTTCTCTCCGTTTCCTTAGTCCTTTCCCACACGTGTCATCACCTGGTCCTCTCTGCCCCTTCCCCTGTGGGGAACCCAGGAGGGCTGTAGTGAGAGCGGCCACAGAGCCAGGGCTGCCACCTGGTCCCTCCACATCCCCTGGCCTCCCAGTTTCACGGGTGGACATCAAACCACTCCTTTCGGCTTGAAGAATTAAATTGTAGAAGTACAGCGTGGACAATGACACAAGAGCAGAGCTTCATCTGTGCACGAGTCCTGGGGACTGACTTGTTTAAAGTGATGGGCTGGAGGCCCTGCTGAGCGTGTGTGACATAATTTTACCCTTCTGTGGCTCGGTGGGCCCTCATCTGGAGTTCTAAGGTGCTAGTGTAGAGCATTAAGTTTCTGGTGGCCTAAGAAACTGTGTTTAGCTAGTAGAAGAAAGATCAAAGGTGGTGGCAAAGCTGTTTTCAAATATCTGAAGAGATTTCCTGTAGAAGAGGAAATGTCACACCAGAAAACTACAGTAGAACGAGGCCTTCTAGATTGTGGCCACAGAAGGCCAGAATTGGTGGGCTTGGCCCTGTCTCGTGTCAGAATATATCTTGAATATTCTGGAGGTTTTCCCCCCATGCTCCTTTGTCTGGAATTAAGACTAAGCTTGGTATCGAGTATGCGTCACACAGACTCTACCTCACATCTTTTGTGTGCCCAGCCTGCTCAGCTAGCCCAGAGGTTGCTTGGTGTGATGAAAACATACCAAGCCCCGAGGTCAAACACAGTTGGTGATAGCCTGATGACATTCCCACGGCCCACTGGCCACCTTTCTGCGTGAGCCGGGCCCTGCCACCCTTCCTTAGCGCGCTCACAAGCCCAGGCTGCCGTGTGCCAGTTTGTGAACCGTCTGCTCGGCGCCAACCTGAACTTGCCTCTGAGAAAGTGCTGCAGGGTTCCTGCATCCTTAACAGGAAGTCCACAGGGTGCCTGCTGGCCAAACTCCAGGGAGAGTCGTCTAGCAGATCTCCTCCCAGCTCCCGCCGCATGAAGTCTGAGAAAAGTTGGAAGAGGGAAGGTCTGAAAGCGAGGGCGCCGAGCAACCCTCTGCCTTGCGGGTTCTGAGAGTTGTTTCTGTCTGATGTGTCGCAAGGGGGTTCATAGGAGCTGCAAACCTTCGGTTCCCCTTTTCTCTTTGCCCCTGTGAGTTCTGCTTTCTGCGTCCTTATATGGCCAAGTAATATTTATCTTCTGCTCACCATGGTTGTTTTGCTACTTTAAACACAAGGTTTAAAGAATTTAAAAAGCATTTGGTTGAAGGAAAATCTAGGAGTTATAAAAATAGGAAAGCTGAGTAATGGTAGCTAAGCCTGAGGTAATGATCCTTTTTCCTTAGCCAGGAAGAATATTCCTATAGCTTTTGAAAAAGAAAGGGAAATCATCTTGATAAGTTTCAGATACTTATCTAAATAAACTGTGATACAATAGCTAGCAGATGCGTCACCGCTAGAATAAAGGGAATTATAGAACTATTAGGGAGATTATAACACTAATTCATAGGTTTGCTCTTTAAAACTCTGATAATTGTGCAAACGCATCCCGTTCAGCTTATGCTTGGGAAATGTTGTGATAAGTATTTGATTCTTTTCCAGTTCCAACTCCCAATTAATTCACTCTTTGAAACAGCAGTTTTGAGGACAAAGCAAGGGAGATTTCGGAGGATTCCAGGACTCCGGTTTTGGTTTTTGTTTTCTTTTTTTTTTTCATTTTTCTTTTTAGAAGAAGCATATATATTGGTTAAATTTTTGAGCACCCCTTCCTGGGAAAATATATTTTGTGATGTCAGGAAAAAAGAAAGCTGGTCCAGTGGCCTTGCCCACTGTAAAGCACAAGAGCTTCAGTAATGCTGGGTTGTCAGAGACACCCTGCTCCCTGCGGTACCCTGAAATACTGAGTCTAGCAGAGGTCTGCTTGCTGGGATTAGGCACCCCATTTTCTTGCTTTGTATTTCAGTGTACCAGATATCCAGTAACTTCTTAGCAAAGTCTCCAAGTTCTTAGTTTTAACTAAATATGTTAAATATCTGTTTCTATCAAAAAATAGGTTTTTGTAGCTCCAGAGGCAGGAGTACAGATGGAACAAACCAGGAAGCCCGCACCTGTCCCTGTGGGGGGGCACATTCAGCTGTTGCTTGGGGTGTTTCCACTTTTCCAAGCTTACACCCCGAGTGTTTCCGTTTGAGGTACTAGTGACAGGCTTCACCTTATGCAATACAAAGATTTGTCTGCCCCATCAGCATGTTTCCTCTCCTCGCCCTCGTGGACACACCGTGGCTGCTGTGACACAGCTGCGAAAGGCACGCCACGCAGGCCATGAGTGGCATTGGCCCTTGCTCTGCTTTTGTGGCCTGACTGTGCTTGCTCTTGGAGTTTGTAGCCCACTGTCTGTCCCTCCCTGCACTCTGACCGTTCCCACTGCACCTGGTCCCCTTCTTCGTCCGAGTTGGTGTTTGTCACACAGTCAAGGTGGGGTGGCCCCTCTGTGGCCTCAGTTTCTTCTGGGTTCATTTCTTCCTGCGTTTGTTGGACCCTGCCTCTGGGGGGTGCCCCAGACGCACCAGCTGAGTCTTCATTTCACACCCCTGAAAACGCACCCCTTCCACACCCCTGTGCTCATGGTTGGGCTGTGGTGTCTTCTCAGAAATCTGAAAACTGTTGCCTCTAGTTCCTAATGCCGCTTTTGAGAAGCCTGACGTTCCTCGAGTGCTCAGCTCTTCGTATGTGATTCATTGTTTCTTTCTGGACACTTTTTAAATCGTCTTTTTATTCCCGGTGATCTAGAGTTCCTCCATAACGTGTCTCGGTCCCTGTGTTGTTGTTTTCCCCTCACACATCATGCTGAGCATCTGAAAATTAAAACCTCAAACTTTTCCTCTTCAGTCCTGGGAAATTCCCCACTGTGGTTTCTTCCCCCTCTGTTTTCCCTGATGTTTCTAGTTCTCCTGGACTTTAGTTGGGGCTGCTGATCAGATCCTCTAATTTTTAAAATCAGTTTTCTCCTGTTCTCCAAATTGAGCATATTAATCATCTTTACTATTCCTCTTTTTTTTTTTTTTTTTTTTTTTTTTT